CCCAGTCGCCAAAAAAATTTCGGTCAATGTACCATTTTAGGGGTCCAAAAATTTTTCGGACATACCAAAATTTTTCGGAACATCAAACAAATTTTCCCAAACATCACAAAATTGACAGAATTTCCCGCAAAATTGACAGAATTTGTCCCATTTATTTTTATAATAACCCAATATTTCCCAACTGTAAAGCGAATATTGCCCAACTGGCTTTGTTTGCCCAACACACTGGGGTTATTATTAAGAGAGATTTTATTGCTTTGACTACTTTTTGCCCGACTTTTGCCCGACTTTTGTTGAACATTTGCCCGACTTTTCGACTTTGTAATCTTTTTGTGGGGGCAGCTGCTCCCCCTGCCCCCCCCCCGTCCCGTACGCCTATGAGTATGTCGTCTAGATAAATGAGCAGTCTGATATTTCGAGTGCGAAGAAACGCTATCACAGGTTTTAACAGCTTCGTAAATATTCTTGGCGCTGTGTTTAGTCCGAACGGTAGGGCTCGGAACTGATTAGTTTGGCCTTGCCAAATGAACCGAAGGAACTGTTGCGAGTGTGGGTGAACACCCACCGTTAGATAGGCGTCCTTCAGGTCTAATTTGACCATATAATCGTTTGGATTTAAGAGGTGTTTCAAGCACATTAAATTTTCCATTTGGAAATGTTCGTTCGTTATAAATTGGTTCAGGTCACTTAAGTCGATGACTGGGCGAAATGAGCCGCCTTTCTTGGGCACAAGGAATAAACGACTGTAAAACCTCACGGATGTGGGCTGCACGGGGGCAATGGCTCCCTTTTGTACAAGTTTGTCTATTTCTTGTTGCATTAAAGTCGCATTTTCCCCTGTAGTCGATGTTTTTGGCATATGCTTTTGCCAAGGTTTTGTGTGAAAATCTATTTGATACCCACGAACTATATAGCTATGATAACCGGGTCCTTTCTAATCTTTTGCCATTGAGAAAGGAACAGTGGTAGTCTTGCGGTAGGTTTGTTTATTGGCGGGACCAGCTGTTGCTTTGCTAGTCCTGCTGGTTTCGAAAATTCGAATTGCTGTTTTGCCCAGGTCTGGAGCCTCTTTGCCCAGATGTGCCACGAAAGGGCCGTTTAAGTTGAGCCTGCATGTGGGTAACTATATCTTTGTGGTGTGTTATGCACTTGTTTTGAGTTCTGTCTAGAATTTTGTAGGTTATATTGTGGTTTCTGCAGATTTTTTGAGAGACTACGTGACTGCTTGGCCGCCAAAGGCGGTAGATCGTACCCAAAAAGCATTTTTCCCGCGTTGGGAAACTTGTTGTCTGCCAATTGGATTTTGTCTGGGTTAATAGCGCCCAAAATTTTCTTTCTACGAGTTATCGTAGTAATGTGGTTCGCTGAGCCCAGTAGGCATAAGGATTGTTGTAGAATAGTCAACAATTCCTCGTTTGAAACGTGGTCTTTTCGTTCAAGACGGTCATGCAAACAACAAAGGGGTGAGGCCGAATATTTAGTAAGGCGCTTTGAATAAGACTTAAGTCTTTGTCTCGATTTTCAACCCCATTGCGGCGGCCGTTTGGCACATAATTTAGAATTTGTTTGTCTAGATAAGGTGCAACACATCCATCTGTCTCAGGTAGGGAGTTTTCCCCGATAATTTCATTCACCTGATCGACAGTCAGCTAGGCTCGGAAGGAGACCATTTTCGAAGAGAAGTATCCTCTGGGTCGAAGAATTCGCACGACTGTTCAGGGACCTGGTTGTCAGGTCTTTCTTTGGACACATTACTGTGATCGTAATCCGACCTAACGTCTGCTAAAGGTGGCTCAGAGCCAGCTAAAGGTGCCTCAATGGCGTTTATATTGTCTTGTGACTGATCGACTTCGTCAAAAGTCGAAGGTGAAGTCGGCGGGTGAACTGATAAACAAACTTCGTCCGTATTCGCTTGAAAAACAGATGAGTTTTGATTCAACTGATTCTCGATGGCACTAACTCGTGTGGTCCAAGCGACAAATTCTTTCTTTATATCGTCCATACTTGTAAGGACTTTTGTCAATGTTTCGTTTACGCTCGAGTTATTTTCCCCTCGATTTTCCCGCTTTCGACTTCGACTTTGATGCCGTTTATGTCGATCTTCTCGCCTAGATTCTTCGGGAGAAGCAGTATGGCGACGTTTTCGACCAGACGAATCGGACATATGCTTGTGAATTAGACGAAAAGTGAGCGAAAAAGGCAAAAATTTCAAGCTAAAAAACAAGAGAAACTTACCTGAGCGCTTACACGTGAGCGAGCACGAAGGAAAATGCCGATGAGACACTAGGGTTCGGCGGTATTATTAGGGAGTTTACGATCTACGACGCGGCCGGCTTGACGACGCGCTTTCAAAACAAAGAAATTTTGTGTTTCCACAAACAATAGTATTATGTGTTTTATCGCCATGCAAACCTACAAAGAACTTACAAAGAAATTTGTCATGCAAGACAAAAACTGTCAATAATTTGTGGTCCCATGAGTATTGTCAACCGCGTTGTCATTCTCAACACAACGTTAAAAAAGCATTTTTACGTCTTTCAGGCAACGCGAAAGCTTAATGCGACACAAGAGGTGTTACTAAAAGTCGAAATTACAGCAAACATTGCATCGCTTTAGCCGCACGTACCATTTTGTAAGGTTATTTGAAAGAGTCAAATATTTATTACAGTAATCGAATTGCTTAGCGCTCATTCTTGAGCTAAAATTTAGACCGCGTCGTTGAGCCGGCCGCGTCGCAGATCGTAAACTCCCTATTGGTTCACGGTGAACACGGGACCGAATGTGTTTTTACTTTTATATCCGGTTCCGGAGCGTTTAAGCGTGGGCAAGAGCCAAGGTATAGCAAGCCATACCATTTGTTTTCCCATACATTTCGACCGAAGTTTGTGAAGTATAATCTACTGATTGTACTCGATATCAGTGGCGTAGCAAACTCGATAATTGGGGGGGGGGGCAATATTCATATATTCGTGTTCACAAACCTTAAAAACAATTGATTTCAAAAGAAATTAATTATCATGCAAAACACGAATATTGCCCCAATTATCGAGTTTGCTACGCCACTGCTCGATATCAAAGACAAGAAAAGAAAACGTCGAGCGTTATTATTATACTATATGGGTGAAAGTACTCTAAATATCTTTGAAACATTGCCAGAGACAGGTACAGGTACAGGTACAGGTACAGGTACAGGTACAGGTACAGGTACAGGTACAGGTACAGGTACAGGTACAGGTACAGGTACAGGTACAGGTACAGGTACAGAAGACGACTATGACAAAGCGTATCAAGCTTTAAATGAACACTTTAAACCTCGCAAGAATACATCGTTTGAAATATTCAAGTTTAGGAAAACAAACCAACTTAATTGTTGACGAAACTCTCGATCAATACCATGTCCATGTACGACTCGTCCAGAAAGCTGACCCAACAATCCTGACCAAATTCGTCTTTGTTCTGACATGCGTATACCCAATAAAGCCATTTCACGGGAACGTCACCCTTAGCAGCAATATTAATACAAAATACTCCCAGCTAAAATGACGAAACTGTCGTTGCATATGGCAGTCGTGCTTTCACAGAGGTAGAACAAAGATATAGTCAGACAGAACGCGAGGCATTGGCAATTGTTTTTGGTTGTGAACATTTTCGTTTATTTCTATATGGAATTCATTTCACAATCTATACAGACTATAAACCATTAGTATCGATTTTTCAGAATCCAAATTCACATTGCCCTGCAGGACTCAAACGCTGGCGTTTACGCCTACAGTCATACGATTTCCAAATTCACTATCGCCCCGGCCACGATAACCCATCCGATTACATGTCAGGAGTCATGACATCCAATAAATACGACCTCAATGACAATGACATCACAAGACAGTGAAAGCTCTGAATATTATATTCAGTTTATTGCGGAATCAACAACCCCAAAAGCAATGACCCTTCAACAAATCAGAGAAGCAACACAAAATGACCCAACTTTGCAACATGTTAGACACCACAAATTTGTCCAAGGACACAGACATTGATCTTCGTGAACTAAAGTTACTCCGTAATGTCAAAGATGAACTAACTGTATCTAATGATAAAAACATCATTTTACGAGACACACGCATTGTTATTCCTAAAAGCTTGCGAGCAGATGCCATACGCTTAGCCCATGTTGGACACCAAGGCATAGTTAAAACAAAGAGCCTAATGGGAAATGCCATGCCTAGCCACTGGACGTCCAAAACACCACAACCTCTGTTAATGCGCGAAATACCCAAAGGAGAACTTTGACACTGTATACATTGACTTTTTGGACCCGTCACCAAGTGGAGAAACACTCTTTGTCTTAATAGATGGACGCTTCCGATATCCGGTAACAAAAATTACAGTATGAAAAAAACGGGTGCTCCTCACCTAATTCCATGTTTAGATGAGATCTTTGCCACATTTGGATTACCAAAAAAAGTTATCCCGGACAATGGTCCACCGTTTAAGAGCAAAGAAACAAAGAAATTCATGGTGACAATGGCATTCAACACAAACCAATTACTCCGTTATGGCCACAAGCAAATGAAACTAAGCGGAACTTTCATGAAAAACCACTGACGAAGGCCATTCGTACTGCTCATCTGCAAAAGCAAAACTGGCGCCGTACAATGCAGGAATTCTTATTAAATTCCAGAGCTACTCCCAATAGCACCACTCAAGTTGCACCAGCCACACTCATGTTTGGTAAGAACACCCGCACAAGATTACCTCAGACTGATATTAAAACCGACAAGAATCCCCTTGATCATTCCGCCAAAAACAACGCGATAAAGCATGCCTGTATATTTAGTTTTTTTATATATATATATATATATTTCAATATAAATAACTCACAAAATAAACTTTTAATATTTCAACATTTATTCTATACTATTCCAACGTATCAATTCCCACTTCATCAAGGATGGACATTAGGCCATTGTCGGGCGTTGACTTTGATATTCATCCTTGATGAAGGGGCACGCCCCGAAACGTTGGAATGGTAGAATAAATGTTGAAATATCAATCATAGTTACTGTTGCTTTAATGCGACACTAAATCAGTAGCTAAATGACAATTAGAATACTTGGTGATCAAAAGACAGGATAGTATTAGATATGTAGAGTTAATTATTTTGTATATAAGTTATGTTATGTATGTATGTAAATATATTTCAAATTAGAAGTGTTGCATTTTTATAGCATGGCTTCCTTGCGAAACGACTAATATTAAGAAAGGCAGAATATTCATGAGCATGTTTCCCGCCAAAAATTAATTTACGCAGTTTATGCTAGCCTGCATGCGCGCAGTCTTATGACTTCAAAACGATGTCGATATCATGAGACTGCGCGCTGGCTAAGTTTATACAGTATGCTACCAATTTCAGCAACAACTCTTGTTTTTAATA